TATATATATATATATATATATATATATATATATATATATGTCTGCTATTTCCTCTTGGCACATGATATTCATGATCAAGATTTCGAGTATATTCAACTTAATTAGATTATATAAATTATCCAAAATTCTTACAAACGAACATATTCTCTAGAGGCGAATTTTCTCGTCATAAAAAAAAATTAATGTTGAAAATGCAAATTTATTTGTAAAAAAATAATAATAACTGCTTGCGTGTCTCTGTCTCGGGTCTAGCTAGTCTCATTTGTTAACCCTAAAAAATATATAAACCTAGACGGCGGGTGGACGGCATAAACTCTTACCAAAAAAAAAAATTATAAAGTCAAAACCTAAACACTAATCAAAATTATATATTGCCAGAACAAAATAATATGATCATCACACATTAATTATACGTGGACATGTGTATCATTTTATCTTATATTATAATGTATGCAGTGCATATGTGTATGTACACCAGAGGAGAGTCATTATTAACTAACCCTAGTTTTTTTAATGATGTAATATGTAAACGTGTAAATATCCCGATATAGAGTTTATGTAAAAACTCAAGATTTATATATATTGATAAACAAATTAAACAATATGGAAATCTACGAAATGGAATTTTACTATAACTGCGACAAAGTTTACGTAACATGGAGAAGTTAAACTACGTATACGCAATTTGGAGATAAAATAAGCCTATATTTATCATGTGGTCTGTTTGCTGTGCTCAAAAGGCAATCTAACTTTTTCTCGTACATTTTTTTTTGGGTGCAAAGACAAGTTAACGGGGTCGTATCTAGATATATGCGTCACACACACGTATGGTCGTAAAAATAATGTATAGTTTTATTGACTATTTAAAATCACACCCTTTTTTCCAAGTTTGGATGAATTAATGGTAACAAAACATGCAAAATATGTTCTTAACCCAAATTTAAATTCAAGCGTAGGGAAAAACACATATAGGAGATATAATTGGGACAAACGCATAGTGAACTTCCGTGTTATAAAAAAAAAATCACACCCTTTATATTGAATTAGAAGTTAATTTGTGAAATATGGGTTTATACGAATTTTTATACGATTTACGATTATAGCAGAGAAATGCAGTGTTTTTAACTATTAAAAGATATTATTAAAGGTTCTTGAGCGAAAATTGTGATGATAAACCAACCAAAAGTAAAATAATTAAGAATAAAAATCACACCGGATATAGAATTTATATGAAAAATTAAGATGGACAAAATACACGTTGATGATGAGTTATCAGAAAAATCGAAAATAGATTATATAAAAAAATCTAGGTATGAATTTTATCAGCGGATTAAAAAGAGTATTCTAATGGTACTAAAAAATCTCCACAAAAGATAAAAGTTTATATATCCAGAATGTTATAAAAGTATATCCATTTTTTTTTCAGCCGAGATAAGACGGTGTAACAACATTTGCATAATCCTAAGTTTTTGTATGCTATTTTTCCAACTTATACAATGAACCCTATATTGAATTTATAGATTTGCAAATATGTTTTCATATTAATCTCCCGTAATTTATAAATAGCATTGAGATTACTTGCCATTAATCTTCAAAATATAATAAAAATATTTATAAATATAGCAAAGTGATGGTACTTGGAAATCGACGTGGCTACGTAAGACAGGAACAGGTCATAGCACTCCAACGGTTGACTAAACATGTA